AGCCTTCATTCATAAAAAGTGAAGCTCAACTCATCCATCTTTGTTATGTGTTTATCTCCCATCTTCTCAAAGACATAAGGTATTTTTCATCTCTCTCGTTTATTTTACATTAGAGAAGGGTTTAGGCTTCGTTTTTTATGATAAATGTAGAGAATAATTTAGGGTTTTGTTGTTGATGACAACATAAGAGGAATGATTTTGTGATTTTTTGTTTCGCTATTGACTTTTTAGGAATCGATTTAGGGTTTTGGGTTCATCGTTGAATGTGTTGGGGCTTAGGTGTGTTTTTAAGTTTTATGGTTCTTATTTTTACATTAATTTCGTGCCAAATGAGTTTGTTTCAGTGTATTACAAGTGGTCTCACCTATGAAACTGTCCTTGTCTACCACCAACATAGGTGCATCATAGTTTTCTTCTTTTGTTTTCTACTTTGTTTGTTTCTATAAAGTGGTAGGAGTGGAGGATTGACATTTGTGAATACTATGATGACCAATGCGACAATGGGGATGACTTCCTACATTTCATCCTTGAATGAAGGTAGGAGGAATGGTGATACTTGCATATAGAACCTTATGTTAGGCACCTTTAGCGTGTGTCTTGCTGTAAATATTGTGGTTGTACAAGGTGGATATGGATAAATTCTTCCTTGGCACTGGAATGTGTGCATGTTGATGTATAATTGCTGAATTATTGGCAAGCGTACCAAAATTATCAATCGCAGTATAGTATTTCGATAAAATAAAAGTTGATTCCACAAGGAACGGTTTCAATGGAAATTCCCAATTATATGCTTACTAAGTATATTAAAACAGAATGGGTTTTGCATAAAGAGTTGAATTGAAATTAAATGATAAAGAATTGTAAATTGTTGAGAAAATATCAATTAAAAGTACTTAGGATTAACTTCCTTCCTTATCCCTCTTTTGTAATGACTATATCAATTCAGAACGTCAATTAACCTAACAATGTTGATGTCACCTACTCAAATCATCCATGTTGATTCCTCACACATGAAATTCATAAAAAAACCTAATAAATGTTGATTCCTCACATAATTAAGAGATTTTCCAGCATTAGGTTTAGGGTGTTAAGCAATTGATACATTCATTCCATTATAACAAATATTCTTACCGTGATCTAGGGTTCAAGATATATTTTCCAATCATACCCCAAACATCAAGAATAAATCATTTCAAAGCACAAAGGATAAGAATAACAACATCAAAACATAGATTAATATCTCAAAATATCACCATGATACAAAAGAGTTCAAAGGAAGTGCACCGAATCCTAAGAGAATGAAGTTAGCCACTTATGTTGGCCATTACAATGCTCCAAATGTGGAAGAAGTGAAGAATTGATGAAGATTGAACGAAACCTTAGTAGTAGTCGTGTCTCTTCTCCTCCAAAACCGCTTGTTTTTCTCAAAATACATCTTCTCTTTTTATTGAAAAAATTTGGGTTTTTGGGCTTCGCATTTTTCGCTCGAGCGAGAACTTTCGCTCAAGCGACAAAACGCTCGCTTGAGCGAATGAACTCCAGAGAAGAATAACTAATATTCGCTCAAGCGAATTTTCCTGCGCTTGAGCGACTGACTTCCAGAGAAGAATAATTGATATTCGTTCAAGCGAATCTTGTCTCGCTTGAGCGAGTGAATTCCAGAGAAGAATAACTAACATTTGCTCAAACAAGAATCCATCCCGCTCGAGCGACTTCCCTGCTGAAAATCTTCTTCCTTCTTCCAGTTTTACTCCAATTCTGCTGACAATTATGCTCCTTACTGTTGTATCAAAGTATTCTCGAATTCGTCCTATATTGGGAGAAAAATAGATTAGAATTAGTATCAGTTAAGTGGTTTCATAACAATTCAAGGTATAATTATATCAACTTTTTACCACTTAATAATAATTCATACAATGCTCAATGATTTTTGTTACTTTGATAAATTGTTGGTTATGCAACATGAGGTGCACCCTATGTAGGTGTATGACACTAATGAAATATTCTAGGATGAATCATGCGAAGTATCCATGACCATGGTCATGGACCTTTGATTTGTTGCAAAGTCAGTTGCTAGTTGTTTGTTCATGTTGCGAACAATTTACTACTGCTAATAGGCATATATAATTTAAAGAGAGATAAGAGACAAAATTCGAAGGAAAAGGAACAAAACTAAACAATTCCATTGACGCCTTCTTAAAATAATGTGTTTTGGTGCCCATCAAAAGACTTTATAATATTACATTATACCCCTTCAATCATAAATTAGTGAGTACAAAGTTTATGATAGATGTAGAAATTTGTGTATTTGTAATAAAATATATCACAGAAAACAAGTTATTTTGGGAGGACGTAAAAGGAATTGCCATGAAAATAACAGCAGAGAAAAACACCAAAACCACCCATAAAATAAATAATATATATATATATATATATATATATAGAGAGAGAGAGAGAGAGAGAGAGAGACATTTTTGTAATCAGACAAACCTATGGTTGCAAAGCAGAAATGGTGGAGACACAGCCATAAAGAGGATTAGCAAGCCTTGCTTGAGCCTCGTAGCACATGGAATTCATCGCCTCATTCCGATGAACCACTTCAACTTCTGACAACAGTTTTGACAAATTGTTTGCACCAAACACCTTGTGCACTGCTGCAAACCTATACGCAGAAAATAAAAATTTGAAAGAAAAGATAATGGCTTCTCAATAAAAATCACTTTTATTTTGAGAACAAATGACTCTTTTATGTTACAATTTTAATTAGAGTCTTATACACTAATCCAATTTCCCCACCAATTCAAGCTCCACAAGTCCAACCTCCTATACAACCTCCTTACACAACTTGATCAAATTTCTCTCTCATGGCTTCCTGAAAGACTTATCCCAGTCACAAAGATCAGACAAGAGAACTCAACAAATAACACAACTAGTTAATTGTTCTTTTACAAATATTATATTAAACACCAAATTCCATTTTGCAGAGCCATCAAGTGAAATTTCATTCTGCAAAGATGTTCTCCAAATTTAAAAGTGATGATGTTGCCTCTACTTCCAATAGCAATTACCAAGAATATGAAGATATATATATAATTTTTGACATAGAATTAAGATTAAGAGATGATGTAATCTTTAAACTTTGTTTGTATTTTTAAAAAATTTACAGTATGAAATATAATGTACATTACCTCTTTAATATAATCATACTATGTTTTTGTTATATATACATAAATATTTTATTTTTCTATCATATTATAGATATAATATATAACATTATAAGAAAAAGTAAATAAATATAATTTTAATATAAAATAAAGTATTTATATTTTAAATATTTATAATTCTTACTATTTTATATTAAAAAAACATATTAAAATATTTTATCAAAAAATTTAAATTTGAAAACATACATAATGTTATTTGAGCTAATTGAAATAACGCTTCAAGTGAATTCAGTTAAGCGAAAAACATGTTTGTAGCGACGAATGCTTAAGTCAAACTAAATTCGCTTCCAACTATACATCCTTAAGCATCAACATCTAATTACTTAAATGACTAAAAAAAAATTTTAATCAACTATTATCATTTAAATGTGAATTATTACACATATTATCACGCTTAAACTATTAGAAAAAAAAATGTAAATCTTAAGTTTATATTATCATTTAAGCATATATGTTTCACTTAAAGCATTAAATTACATTTTGTCTTATTTAAGTTTTTCATTACCATTTTTTCCTTCTTTACTTTAAGCAAATTTTGTATTGCTCAAGCGATATTTTATGACGATATGTTATCTATCACAAAATACATCACTGATTATTATGTTTTTTGTGATAACTTCAATGTATACGGGTTCTATAACACATTGGTGTCTATCACAAAATCTTCTCACCGACTTTAAAAAATGTTTGTTTTTTACAACACAGTAAATGACAATATTATGTTATCACATCGTCACAAATGCTATCATAGTTTGTCGCGATATTTTCTTACATCACAAATTTCATAAAAAGAAAATTTTATTTTAGTTCTATCATATCAAAATATAATTTATTTTAAGTATAAATTTTGTTTTTATCAAATATATCTCAGCACCAATATTTACCAACTATGCTAAACCTTATTGATTAAAATGAAATTATATATATATATTAAATATTACATACATATATAAAACTAACTGCAAATATAAAGTATAATAATATATAAGATCAATTAATACTTTCTCACTCTTCCACATTTATACAAATTAATATTTTTTATAAAATATAAAAAAAAAATCAATCAATCCAAGCATTGAATTATATTAGATATTGTCTGTTGAATAATGTATTTCAAAATTCACATAATTTATTAGACATTACTTATATGAAAATTTATATATTTAGATAATAAATTATCCATCAAAATAACAATATTATAATAAAATATAAATTAGTTTCTTTACATGAAATTTTATTAATTGGACTATTTTATGAAAATCTCATTATAACAAGACAAAAAAAAATGAGAAAAACAAAAAGGCAAAATTGGACAAGTGATGGAACATGAAACCATTCAATAGTACACAAGTTCTTGGTCCTTGTGTATAGATAGCACGAGGATTATTAGCCCATAAATAGATTTTAGTACACTTTGAAAACTAATCCTTAATTTCCAACTAAGATACTCAGGTTCCTCCCCAAAACATTTTTTTCAAATATTAATCAGTCTTTGTTACTAGCACAGTTTTACAAAACAAATATTTTAGTTATTTTAACATAATACATTTAAGACACCCCAAAAGTAAGTATTACTTTAATTTAATAAATTATTCTATATAATAAAAGCTTAAAAAAAACTGATATACATTGTAACGCTTCTCAGTCGCTTCAAGAAAAAACAAAAGAATTTATTATATTTTCTAGCCAATTCTCACTCACTATGTTAAATATAAGCATCAACATCAACACTTCCATCACTTTCACTCTTGTACTCTTCACTGTCAGAAACTCGACATGGTTGATCTGCAACAAGACAATGCAGATGATCAAACTTCCAGAGTAGCTAAGCGTGCCCAACAAGAAGAAGAAGATAATGAAGGCCCTTCTAGAGTAAATAAGAATAAGGGCAAGGTCTCAAAGCGTGTCAGGTCACGAGCATCATCTCCTCCATGTGCAGCATGCAAGAAAATGAGAAGAAGATGCAGTAATGACTGCATCTTTGCCCCTTATTTTGGTTCTAGCCAGGGCTCAGAACGGTTTGCAGCAGTGCACAAGGTGTTTGGTGCAAACAATTTGTCAAAACTGTTGTCAGAAGTTGAAGTGGTTCATCGGAATGAGGCGATGAATTCCATGTGCTACGAGGCTCAAGCAAGGCTTGCTAATCCTGTTTATGGCTGTGTCTCCACCATTTCTGCTTTGCAACAACAGGTTTGTCTGATTCCATAAATGTCTAAACTCTTGGTATTATATATATAATATGGGTGGTTTTGGTGTTTTTCTCTGCTGTTATTTTCATGGCAATTCCTTTTACGTCCTCCCCAAAATAACTACTAAATTATTATTGTTTTATAATATGTTCTACCCGGATCATAATTATAATACAACAAGTTTTTTTTTATTAATTTATTTAATCTATACCATTAAAATCCCTAATCCCTAATTTTTGAAAACCTAGTAAAAAAACCCTCTTTTTTTTCTGCGTAAAATCTTGGATCTTTCTCACCCTATTTTGAAAATCGGAACGAATAGTTTATTCAACCGGTTTAATCTAAAAGGTCTAAAAATCGATTTTACATTCAAATAATTAAATTAGGATAAAATTAGAACGAAACCGATATAATCGACTGAATTTTTAGATGGAACATATTCTGATAAAAAGAATATAAAAAATATAAATTCAATTCAATTTTTTTAATATAATTTTTTTATAAAAAAATATATTTTGATTTGTTTTTAATCTCAAATTAATCATATCAATTTTAAATAATAACTATTATATTTTATTTTTATCTTATTTTAATAATTATTTATCCTACTTTATGTAAAGTATATTTTATATTTATAATTTGTATTATAATTTATGATAATTATCAAAATAATAAAAGAAAAGAAAAGAAATCTTATTGTATTTAAAATTATGACTCTTAAGGGTATAATATAATATTATAAATTCTTTTGATGGGCACCAAAACACATTATTTTAAGAAGGCGTCAAAGGAATTGTTTAGTTTTGTTCCTTTTCTATCTCTCTTTATTTATCCCATCACATTATTTTTCAATCATTTGATTTTTCTCTCAGCATTTAATTATCTCTGTCACTTTTAATTATATATGCCTATTAGCAGTAGTAAATTATTCAGTACTCTCATTTAATTGTTCACTCTTTTTAAAAAAAATCATATAATTAATAATATAATTCATGAATGATGAGTAACACTCATTTGAATCTATTAAGGTGGCGTCGTTGCAAGGAGAGCTTGCTATGGTGCATAATCAGCTGATTAATACAAAAATATTATATGAAAATCTTCTTCAGAGAACACAACAGTACCAACAGCAACCAAACATCAACGTAGCTATGCAACCTGCACAGTCCAACAATTTACCTGCTGCTTCCACCAACAACCTGATGAACATGAGCTTCTTCAACCCTGGTTTTGATCACCTTGCAATGCAGATACCTCCCTCAACACACAACATGGAGCCTCTTCAGTTCTCTGGGCCTCCCCAGGATTTCAACAATGACCAACCTTATCTTTTTCCATGAATTGTTCTTCTTGCTTCATTTTCTCAAACTTTAAGTTTATGATACCATTGCTTCATAGCCAACTCATATTATATATATACTGTTTGACAAAAACTATAATTAATATATATGTCATGAGAATGCTTTTATGGTTGCATCACTTTGTTTTTTAAAAGCATAAAATTCATGCATCTCATATCATTGTGAAGGATGAGTTATATACCAAAGCTTGATTACATTTTTTATGACAATCAAGTCAAGCCATTGCGTAACTTTCATTGTCTTACCTGTTGAACTCAACATTTATTATATTCCATCCGTTGCAAATTCATTGCTAATTATTTATTTTTTACTTTATTAAAGAATTTTATAAAATATAATTTTTTTATTATTCAATCATTTTTGTATTTAAATTAACATAAATATATAAAAATTAAAAGTTAAATTTCATGCTTCTCAATACCCTAGAATAAGGGATTGTGATATACCATAGATCAATTTAGGGTTTTGACAATTAGGATGATAATTAAACCATACTCGTGAGAATCAATATGTCTTTATCTTAAGTTTGACAGAAAAAACTACGTTAATTGGGGACGGAGCAAATTCATTTTTTCCCACTTTAAAAAACTGGGTACAAGGGTGACAGTAAAGAATGCAATCTCGGTCTTGTTTCCGTCCCCGTTCCTATCTTAATTTTATTAAATTTTTATCATAAAATATTAATATTTTTAAAGTATATGCTTTTTTTTTATATTGTATATTATATATAAAGTCATTTTTTTATATTTTATCATTTTTACTTTTTGTCTATCAACTTTTCACTCTTTTTTCTTTTTCAATATCAATCAACTCATTATATTATTCTCTTTCTCTTATCATTAGCTTGTTAACATTTACTTCATGTCTTCAATTAATTTGATTTATCAATCTCTTCAATCAATTTGACAAACATAAAGTTAATTTTTCTTCTTCTTTATTTTTTTTTAAATATTTTATATCAATCTTAGTAGTAACTAATATTATTTTATTTCTAGTTTATCATTATTAATTTTTATTGTATCATATTTTTTGGATTTTATTATTCCTATTTGTCATATATATTAAATTTTATCTTAATAAAATAATTGCACTTTGAATTATTAAAAGTTGATAATTAAAACTTTAATTATTTAAAACTAATTAAATAAGAATTAATTTATTATAAGTCTAATTAATTTTGTAAAAATAACATAAGATGAGAATAGGGACTTAAATTTAAAACCCAACAAAGACAAAAATAAAGACTTAATTTTTAATCACAACAGAGATTGGGGTTGGGAGTAGGGACTTAATTTTTCTTTTCATTTTATAAAACTACAAAAATAAATATATTAAAATGATAGTTTTCTTTTATATTTTTTTCTATTATCAAACAAGAAAAAAATATTATTTTTAATTCATTTCCCCTTCTTTTCTTATCACTAAAAGACAATGAAACTTTCAAAAACGCCAAAATATAGGATTAGGATAAGAAGAAAACATAAGACGTATTATTCTATGACTAAAAAGCTAAAAAAATTGAGTTAAAACAAAATTAGTTATCTTTTGTTAACTTTTTTTTATAAAAGACGGTTTATTAAATAACATAAATATAGTTTAAAATTTATGATATTTTAATATTATTTTACTGTAAATTAATTTTTATATTTATTATTTCTATTTATAATTAATGAATAGTTATGAATATTTGTTTATTTTATTCTCTAAAAAAACTTGTTATTTTAAAATTTTTAAGATTTTCTAGTCATTCTTTTATAGTTTGTGTCATTTTATCATTAAAAAATAAAAAACATAACATTAAAAAATAATAATAAATTGATAAAATAAAAATTATTTCTGTGACAACCTATATATTTTAAGAAAATTATATTTTTAGTTTAAAATTATTAAGTTTGATGAGTATGAATTATTTGTTTTGGTGAAATTGATTATTATATTTGTCTCATAGCATCAAATAAACTTTTCACGAATTTTGAATATAATTATTTTAAATGGTAATTTAAATTTATAGAAGTTATTTTAATATGAATTTTTCAAACTATTTTATTACTTAAAAAACTAATTCATTTTAATAACTATATATAATTATATAATTTTGACGTAATATTAAAATTAAGTATCAAGATACATCACATTAAGGTCAAGTCATAATTGATCTTAAACCCAACTATAAGTAGAAAATAAATGGATTAATATCATTTGCCTCATTATTTTCAGCCAGCAAAATTCAAGAAGAGATTTTTTTTTCTCTTTTCATGATTTGATAACATGGATAATTCTAGAAAGTTTTATAATTTCTCACATTTTCCTCTCAACTTTGACATTAACACAAATTGGCATCAAGAGAACTTTTTTTTTTAACTTCTTCTCTTCTCGATCTCACAACCCACCAACAAGAAAATATAAGGAATTAATCAATTTTTATTAGAATTAATATTTCAATATCTATCTTTTAACCATGACATTTCTAGATAACTTTACTCGTCATTTATCTCACCAATTCTCAGCACATTTAATTAAAAAGGAGAAGATTTTTGTTAGCTCACTTCTCTCAATTTCATCCATACATTTGGCAAGAGAGGAAACAAGTTCAATTGATTTTTTATGACTTAATGATTTGACACTTAAAAATTAAAACAACTCTTTGCTTTGTGTTTCCAATAGTGGAACTTTGAAGAAAACAATACAATCAAATGAGTTTCTCACTTCTTCTCCATCTTCTTAATCTCTACTACTCCTAATCTCCATCTATTAGAAATGTTTATTGTTAGGATTTTTATTATTGTTACAAATTTGTTAAAAACCTATTTAATATGGATTCACCCAGTGTGTGTGAAAAATATAGTCAAGTAAAGAGTTTGTTTGCTTATCTTTGTTTTGCTTGTCGGCTTCTTCTTCCTCTTTTCTGGTAGTCACCTCTTTCTATTAGGTCTCCTTGTCAAATCTATGATGTGTCTTTTCCATGGCTTAGGAGAAAGTTTCCATTCCATACCATACTGAAAATGGTATCAGACCAGGGTGAAAGCCTGCTCTGCTTCTGTTGATCATCTTTTCTTGATGGTTTCTTGCCTTATTGATCATGTAGACAACAAACACACAATCAAGTTCTACAAACACTATTATAGATCAATATCTCAATCCTTCAAGCCCTTATTACCTACCCCCTGAAGAAAATCTAGATCTTATTCTTGTTTCTCCCCCTTTAAATGAGACTAACTTTCTTCTTGGAGCAGGAGTATTAAACAGGCTCTCCTTTCCAAGAATAAATTCAAATTTCTTGATGGAAGCATAAAGACTCCCTCTCCTAATGACTCTTTGTATGATCCGTGGGAAAGATCCAATGTAATGATATTATACTGGATCATTAGGACGTTGTCAATGCAAATTTTTGATAATGTTATATACATTGATAATGTTCAAGATCTATAGATTGAATTGAAAGAAAGATTTTCTATAGGTGACTACTTTAAGATATCTGATTTGCTACAAAAAATACATTCTATCAAATAATGTGAGAGAAATATTGCCCAATTTTGTAATGAGTATTTGTGATATGTCAAAAACCTACATCAAATACAGGGAAACCAAGTATGTTATATGTTTCTTGAAAGGTTTAAATTATGTTTACAACACAGTTAGGACTCAAATTCTACTCATGGAACCCCTACCTAATATCGACAAGGTGTTTTCCCTAGTTATGCAACAAGAAAGACAACTCACAAGAACTGAAAGTATGATTACAGAAAGTAAGTTGTTGATCAATACTGATGAAAAACCAAACAGTTGAAAACATGATGAACAAAGGTCTTGGAAGACAGAAGGAAGAGGCAATACTAATTGGCGAAGACAAGGGAGAGGAAGAGTAAGGAACCCCAATTATGGAAAGCAATGTCCTTTTGTAACAAGATGAATCACATTGTGGATGAGTGTTACTCTAACCATGGGTATTCACGATTGCATAAATAGAAAGGTGATCAAAAGAGAAGTAATCAAGTGAACAATCATGATTTCTAACACTCAAATTTCTAAACAATAAGTCAATTCTCTCACTTTGAACAAATACAAAAACTTTTGAAACTCTTGGATAATGTTGACAGCACCAGCGCAAAGTTAATCATCATGTTCAAAGAAATTATGTTATTGGATCATCTAATTCTGAAAATAAGCAAGGTAAAGATTCTTGGATTCTTGGATTCTTGATACCAATCTCATTGATCATGTAACTCATGTTGGATTTTTTTTTGTCACCTTTTTCAAGATTAAACATGTGCATGTTATACTTCCTAATAATTCCTATGTCGCACACTATGTTAGAACCATACAATTTTCAAAAAAATTTATCATTTTTAACGTATTATACATTTCTGATTTTACATTCAATTTAATATTTGTCCAGAATTTGATTAAAGACTTAAATTGTAAATTAATTTTCTCTTATGAGCAATGTCAGATTCAGGATAATACTTCATTGAAGATGATTGGGCGTGGTAGCCTATGTAGAGAATTGTACTATCTACATGGGTTTTCTCTTATTCCTTACAAAAATTTCCTACCTGTCATTTCTGTTTTAACTTACAAACAAATTGACATTGATCATGGCATTATAGACTAGGACATCCTGCAAATAAAATTGTAGAACAAATATTTATATATGTCCAAATACTAAAACTGTGTGAGATATTTGTGACTATGATAAATAACACAAATTACCTTTTCAACAAAGTATTACTTGTGCTACAAAAAAATTTCATTTAATCCATATTGACATATGGGGTCCCATAGATATACATTTTGTTCATAGTCACAAGTATTTCTTAACTGTTGATGATGACTTTGAGGACACACATGGGTTTGTTAAATAACTTTGTTATATATGTTAAAAACCATTTTGAATGAAACATCAAAATTATTAAGATTGACAATGGTCAAGAGTTTGATTATACTAATTTTTACAATAAATATGACATTTTGCATCAAAA